CATGTAGCAAGGCAGATTCATTAAAGAAATTAGAGAGGATGAAAAAAGGGCCAGCTTTGAACCAAAAGACACAAATTGGTTTTGAATAGTTTTCTACATAAGGAACATTCATCTCCCACTCTAGTTCAAGAACAGCTTAGAGATCCTTTTTCATATCATGCAAATGACAGCAGTAACTTAAACAATTACACATTTCTTAGAACCAGCAATATCAGTTTTAGGAAGGGAAAAAAAAGTGTCTTTGGAGCTGGGACAAGGCAGCAGATTTTCATTGTTTACTCCAACATTTCATAAGCAGTTTCCTTTTTCAGGCAACAATTGATATGCCATGTATCATTAAAGAATGAACCAATTTATAAATAGCATGAATACAAGGAGAACCCCATTGTTCTTATTTGTGCTGGTAAATATGAGACATGCCAGATAAGACTTCTCTGAAGTGGGTTTCTAATTCCCTTACTAAATTTAAAGCCTTGCATTAGCCAGCTTGGCTGGAGAAGCAGCACCTTCAGTGTCTGGACTCCTGTTCCTCTCTCAGTGGGATGGTGAGGGACACCACAGTCCTGGATGCAGGAGTGACACAGAACCAGCACAGCCACAGGACACAGCCTGGGCTGGGACAAAAAGCTCCACATCAGCTCCTCACACCATGCAATCCTAGGTTTACAGCAATGGCTGCAGTTCCTAACGAATCCAGGCGAACCCTCCTGTGATTGTCTTCCCAGGAGGCCAGGGCCATTCACCCTGCCTTTCTTCATTAAGGTCCAGATTTTAACCAAGCTTGTCTGAAATGCCCACATCTTACCTGAATAAGGCAGAAGCACCTCCCCAGCTTGGAAGTCCAAGATCCCCAACAGTGTCCATCTGTCACAGCTGAGACAGCCACAACACACAGAGTGTCACTATACAATTCCAGAAGGCTTCAGCCCACACAGAGTAACATCCTGCCACTTCAGAAGGCTGCAGGCAGCTGCCCTTCCTGTCCCTCAGCCCAGCCTTTTATCCCCTCCTGCTGATGCCCTGCACCTGTGTGCCCTCTGCTCCCTTTGGTGGTTGGGCAGTGCCCTGGGCTCTCGTTACCTTCAATAGCATTCACCTGCTGCTCACAGCTGGGCCCATTGGGGATGAGGCTTGGCCACAGCCCCACTCCAATCACCACAAACTCTGTGCCTACAGCAATCATGAATTAAGATGAAGCTACAAATGCAGAGCAGAAGAAAGCCCAGCATCTCAATTCACCCTGCCTGCAAATGAAGACAATCCCCCTCTTCTGAGAGGATTAACATTCCCAGGTAAAAGGCACCAACAGGACCACTGATCTGCCTCTCCATGTATTTCCATTTTCAAATCAATACCACCACTAAATCTTTCAGTTGAAGTTTATACACCTTCCTCACGTACACCCGTCTCCTCCCTTCCTTGGGAGCTATGAACCTTTTTGAAGTCTATGAAAGATGCTGAGGAGTTCACCTCCCAAAGTGTTACCCCCTCTCAACTGGCACAGATGATACATAAATCCCTATAAATTATATACAAAGGGCCTCGACTCCCTTCAAGGAAGCCACCCACTGAAGGGTTAAACACACAAACTGCAGATCCTGTCTAATTCCTCTTAATCCCTGGTTACACAGCACAGAAGATGAGGTATTGTCCCTGGATTCCTATTATTGCTGCCAGACACAAAGCAGGGTACACCACAGGGCCACCCAAAATATCCCACAGCATGCAGTGCTTGTCTGGGGAGGCAGGGCTGAGGGGAGCCATGAGGTGTGCAAGGGATGCCAGCAGGCATCAGCCATTCTATATTAAATATAAAATCATGATGGTGAAACCCTCAGCCCTGCCCAAAAGGTTAAAAGAGGATTTATGTTGGAAAGCCACGAGAAAGGAGTTTAGCAGTTGCTGGTTTTCCACCAGCAGAAACATTAAAAAAGGTTTGGAATGGCAAACTGAAGAGACCCCTTTAAGACACCTACATTATTCTTTTTCACATGAGATGAAGAGTGATGATTGTATTAACCTAATGATTAATACAACAGGGAGAAAAGCTGCGACTGATCACCAAAAACATTCACACAATATCAAATCATCTGGTCTGTCACTGTAGATTACAAATAGGACAAAAACCCAAAATAAAATTTAAAAACAACCTTTCAGATTCAACAACTACCATCCAAAATTACACCATCTAGCTGTAAAATACACTGGAAGAAGCACTTGAGTTTCCTTTAGAATCTCAAATATTTGGTATTTGAAGAAAGCTTTACTTCACTACTTGCATTTTCCTGACACACACCCCACCACCACTTTTCTTTCCATACAGTAACAACAAACACGGAAACATACGCAAGATAAAAAGCCAGTGATGAAAACACTAACCACAAATTGTAAACAAACATTTTGCTTCCTAAACTTTTGTTGTGACTTTACTGAAAATAACAGAACTGTTCAGTTTCAAGGCACGTCAGCTGCTCTGGGTTCAGCAAGGATTCCCCACAGTCCTGCCACTGCAAAGTTCTGCCCTTGGACACTCTGGTCACAAAGTTCCTACAAGGGATGGATGAGAAATATTGAAAAGATACTTTCTTCTTCAGTTAGGGCACTAGGTGCATCTTTTCCATGTATTTGATATTATTTTAGAAGGTAAATAAATTAGTGACAGAATTTAGGAGGGGGAGAATCACACCACTTCCAAGGACAAGGATTAATTCATTTCTCGAGCAAGTGGTTTCATGCAAGCCTGCTCCTCTTTTGTGCTGCCAGACAAAGCCGAGTCACTGCTTCAAAACTGTAAATATCTCTATTTCACACCAGGTACCTGTCACCCAGACCCACTGCTGCAGTCTGTATCAGACAAAAGATCCATTAACTTCCTTACTCCTGCTGCTCTCCGGGCCAGTGGTTTAGCGCGTTTAGCACTGGGCAGCTCCCTGTGCTCAGTGGTTCTCTCACATGCCACGCTGCAGTTAAGATGATTTCTGGCATCAGGGCAGAGAGCATGGCAGGCAATGAAGAATAACCATGTAGATATTGTTAAGACTATCCTATTACTATTTTTCCCTTTTCTTTAACCATACCGAGACACAAAACCCAACACTCTTCATAAGAGAAGAAAGAAAATACACTTCAATGAAAACTCATGTTTTTTTCCCCCCAAAAAAAAAAAAAAAATCCAAACCAAAACCAACAAACAAAATCAAATAGAAAAAAAATATATATGAATATATGAAAAAAAAGTTGTGTTGCTTATTCAGCACCCACTGACAGTCAGCTTGCACACAGAATGCCACTGTAGCAGTTCTTGTGCTGGACAGCAAAAGCCTCCCAGAGAAATCCCATCAGTTAAGAGGAAGACTGCATATGGTTATGTTTTTGAAAGTTGAAAGCTGATTATAATTTATAATACATTTACAAAGAAGCACAGTAAGCTAATTACATTTGGGAGAAGGCACATTTTAGAGGCTATAAAGATACAACCAGTAAGAGGAAATTCTAACTCCCAATTATGCCTCTCAGTGTTCTTTACAGAATAAAACATTTGCTTGTGATTTCAGAAGTGGTTTGCATTCAACAGTGTAAAACTTGTTTGAAGTTTCAATGGTTGTTCTCTTCCCTGCTCAGCAAATACTCATGTTAAACGCTTTTACAACACGTAAGAATATTGAAGCCATGGGGTTGGGTCTCCTATGAGTCCTTCCCCAGCCAAGAAACTCTTTGCTCAAACTCAGAGCTGAAGGGTCGTGATCCAAATGCCCAATGGCAAAGGCCTGACCCTCAAAACAACTGTCCACCAAGACAAAATGTGACACAATAGTAAGGAAAAAATTATAAAGGTGTCTCTTTTACGAATTGTTAGCAGGGGTACAAAGCCCTACGCAGCAGGAATATTCTCATAAAAATAGCATGGATTACTTAACCAGCAGCACTGCTAAAACAGGTCTTTTTCCAATACTCTACTGTTGGTCAACACATGACCATCAGTAGCACATTGCACACACAGCAGGATGGGATCACATCTCTGAGATGGAGCAGTGCTCAAAATCCCTGACAATCACTTCAGAGAGGATCTGTTACAGCCAGATGGGAGAGCAACATCACACACATATCATACTTAACCTGAAGAAGAAACAACAAAAGCAGCTATGACGAGAAAAAAATCCACAGCTGTCAAGTAAGAATTGGAAATACCACTTTTGCTAAGATCAAACCAAAAAAAAACCCCAAACCTGCAAACCACCACAGTATCAAAACTAACACTTAATTCCCAGGAGGAAGTGTGGCTGGGGGATCTGTGGGGCTGTGCAGCACTGAGGGGTATGTTCAGCCAGAGAGGGAAATGGTTAAACCACTACACACTACCACCATCCATCCTCTCCCGGCTGGCCCACTCAGCAGGGCCAGCCCCAAATTCCCAGGCATGGCAAGTCAAAGGCCATGGTGAAGTGCAGAAGGCAGCTCCAGGAGATGCTGCAACTTAAAGCAAACACAAGACTCATTCTCACACCTGGCTTCTCAGTATTGCCACAGAAGACAGCAGGAGCAGTGTGAATGATCAGCTCTGTGACTGAAAACAGAGCAAATAAAATACTTGTACTTCACAGATGACATTTCAAACCTGGTTTCCACCCACTGCTTTTCAAGCTAGTCAGGCAGAAAACCTTTAAAGACCCTTCAGTCAAGGCAAATGGCTTTGTGATAAGGGAAGTTTCCAAATAAAATGTTACACTTTTACCACCTGTCACATCCAGGAAGAGAAACAAAACCATTTTCATACTCATCACTGAGTTAGATAGAAAAGTAACCAAAATTGGAGGTGTGTGAGGAGACCTGTCATCTGAGGGACTCAGGCAGGCAGGGATGGCAAGAACTTCCATGTCATGAGCTGCTCAGAGCCCATGCTCATGGCCCAACACTGACACCACAACTTCAATGAAAACCCAACCATAATCCTGGAATTACACAGGAGCAACAAGACAAATAATTACTGCATAAACCTTTACCTCTGCTCGCTGCGTGCGGGGCAGAAGAGACGACTTCTCAATGGCATAAACATCCACCAGGTAGAGGCGTGCTCCCTGCTCCCTGTCCAGGATGGCAGCGGTCTGGATGACGCCGGTGTGGCGCCCGATGGTGAAGAGCCGCCCCAGGCTCCTGTCCTCGCAGCGAACAGACACAATGTAATATTCCACCTGCGCCTCCGCGCCCCGCGGGCTCGCCGCCTCCAGGGAGATCACGTTCGTCCCGATGGGCTCGCCCTCCTTCAGGATGGTGATGTATTTGGGCTGAGTGAAAACAGGCCCATCAACCCCCTGCAGGATTATAGTCATCTCAGTGGTGGATTTTCTCCTCTCGGGGCCCAGGTCGGTGGCAGAAACAATGAGGTTGTAGATGAGCTGAGAAGGCACCAAGGCTGAGGCCACTCTCAGATCCCCGCTGTAGCGGTCCACGATGAAGGTTTCGGTGTCTCCATTGACTATCTCATACTCCACCTCCCCGTTGGCACCCTCGTCGGGATCCGCAGCGATAATGGTGGTCAGGATGGAGCCGATCACCACCGAGGGGTCGGCTGCAAGGGCGTTCTGCGACACAAACACGGGCACGTTGTCGTTCTGATCCGTCACCAGGATGGTCACGTTCTTGAGGGCAAAGCGCCTGGACTCCACGGGAACGGCCTGATCTGTGGCTTTGACCGTCAGCTCAAAGAGATTGGCAAACTCCCGGTCGATCTCAGCGTTGGTAAATATTGTCCCTCTCACCTCGTCGATACGGAAGTGATTCCCCCTCGGCATCTGCTGGATGATGGCATACGTTAGCTGCCCGTTAATATCCGCGTCCGGATCGTGAGCAGTCACGGAAATGACAGAGCTGCCCACAGGAACGTTCTCGACAATTGACTTAAAGATGTCTCCCGGAGGAAAATGAGGAGGATTATCATTGAAATCCCTGATGTGTATGACCACTGACATGGTAGAGGATCGCGGGGGCCTCCCTTGGTCTTTTGCCGTTATGTTCAGCTTATACAGAGATTGTGTCTCAAAGTCCAGTTTCTTGGCAAGGAAAATACTCCCGGTGTTGGGACTGATGCTAAAGGTCCCGTGATTGTTTGTGCCTGTAATGCTGTAGTGGAGGTCAGCGTTGTTGCCTGAATCAGAATCAGTGGCAGTGATAGATGACACAAGCTCACCAACCCTCATATTTTCCAAGACATCCACTAACAGGGTTGATTTAGGGAAGGAAGGGCTGTTGTCATTTTCATCCAACACATCAATGCTCAACATGCAAGTTGAACTTAGGGGAACGGCTCCTGAGTCTACTGCTTGGATGACAAGGGAATATGATGCAGTAGCCTCGTAATCTAGTCTGCCTACTAAGGTCACTTGGCCTGTGCTGCTGTCTATTACAAACTGATTTTCTTCATTTCCCTTGATTACAGAATACTGAATCAACCCATTAACCCCTTCATCAACATCTGAGGCAGAAACTCGCAGCACCTGTGTCAGATTTGCTGCCAATTCTGATATAGTGGCTTGGTAAAGATCTTTCAAAAACTTGGGTGCGTTATCATTGATGTCTTTCATGTAGATCTGTACAGTTGCCTGATCTTTCAGAGGCTTTGGCAACCCCTGATCTGTGGCTATTACTGTAAGGCTAAACACTGCAGCTCCCCTCTGCCTCATGAGAGCTTCTCTGTCAAACTGATGAGTGCTCCTGATTTCCCCAGTTACTGTGTTCAGCTCAAAATCTGGCTGCATATGCTCAAATGAATACCTGACCTCACCGTTCGGCCCAAAGTCTTTATCTACAGCATTTATTTTACCCACGTATGACCCACCTCTCTGTTCCTCTTCAAAATAAAACACATAGTTGGTACTGTTGAACAGGGGCCTGTTATCATTTACATCCTCCAGAATCACAGTAACGTTCACAGTAGCATTGAGTGGTTCTACTGCTCTATCAGAGGCAACGACCAGTAAAACATATCTTTCCTGAAGCTCACGGTCCAGTTCACTTTTTATATACAGCTGGCCATCTGGGAATATGCCAAAGGCATCCCCAGCATTTCCTTCAATTATACTGTAAGCTATTTCACCATTCACTCCCGAGTCTTTGTCAGAAGCCTGTACCTTAAAGAACCTGGAATTCACAGGCTCTGACTCCAAAATAGTAATTTCATAGGAAAGCTGGTCAAACACAGGCGGGTTATCATTTACATCATGGACAGAGACAGTCAGGATAAAGGAGGAGGACAGCTGAGGCACCCCCATATCCGAGGCCAGGATTTCAACCTGGTAAGACCCAGCATTTATGTCAAGCGGCCCCGTTAAGCTTATAGCACCAGTTTGCTCATTGATTGAGAACAAGCCCTTTGGATTTTGCTTCAGGCTGTAAAGGACCATGCCATTAACACCTTCATCAGGATCAAGAGCTTTGGCCTGGAATATGGTATGCCCAGCTTTCCAGTTCTCAACAACATTTACACTTTCCACCACTTGAACGAAGTGTGGGGAATTGTCATTTAAGTCTTTGACAGTTATATTGACCACGGCATCGCCAGTTATCGCCCCACCCCTGGCAACCACCTTCAGCTGGTAAAATGCCTGCTCCTCCCTGTCAATGATACTGGCTGTGGTGATCTGCCCCGTCACCCTGTTGATGGCAAACACGCCCCTCTGGTCACCCGTGGTAATCAGGTAACTGATGTTGGTGTTGAGGTCCATGGTGGAAGCAAAGACAGTACCCACGTGGTAACCCAGGGCAACGTTTTCAAAGACAACAAAACTGTATGTGCCCTGGCTGAAAACAGGGGGGTTGTCCTGTGTGTCCAAGACAGTGATGGTGACAATGGCTTGGTTCTGAGACTGAAGATGGCCACCATCAGTGGCCACAATCTGCAACTGGTAAGCAGTTTTCTCCTCCCTGTCCAGGGCTTTTTTTGTTGTGATGACTCCTGTCTGCCCATGGACCTGAAACCTGGAGGTATCTCCAGCTGAGATGCTGTACTTGACTGTCCCATTGGGGCCCAGATCGGGGTCCGTGGCAGACACGGTGGTCACATAGGTTCCAGCTGGCTCGTTTTCCTGGATATGGGCAAAATACTGAATGGGGTAAAACACGGGGCTATTGTCATTCACATCCAGGATCGTCACGTTAACTCGGGCCACCGAAGAAAGGGGAGGAGAGCCCAAATCAGTGGCCAAGACCTGCAAGGAGAAGTGAGACTGCTCCTCCCGGTCCAGCTGTGAGACGGTGCTGAGCTTGCCTGAAACCGGGTCCAGACGAAACATGTGGCGAGGGGTCACAGAGGAGGGGCCAACTGCTGCCAGCACCGGCTCGGCTTCTTGCAGGGAGAAGCGGACAGTCCCATTGTCCCCCAGGTCCCCATCAGTGGCACTCAGGACAAGCAGCTCAGTTCCTGACAGGGAGTTTTCAGCCAGGGCCACCTGGTAACCCTCAGGCTGACCGAAGCGAGGCTTGTTGTCATTGACATCCAGGACGGTCACCACCAGCTGCGCGTAGGAGAACTTGGGCTGCACACCCTGGTCACGGGCGCTGATGTTGAGCACCACCTGAGAAGCAGTCTCGCGGTCCAGCCTGCTGGAGCTGGACGTGCCCTCGGGGACGGCCGTGGTGACCAGCCCGCTGTGCTCGCTGATGCAGAACCAGCCCAGCTCGTTGCCCGAGACGATGCTGTACTTGAGGTTGGCATTCAGGCCCGAGTCCCGGTCCGTGGCGCTGAGGCCTCGCACGTAGCTGCCCGCGGGCACGTCCTCGCTGATGTTCACGCTGTACACCGACTGCCCGAAGACGGGCGGGTGGTCGTTGATGTCATTTACAAAGATCACCAGGCTGGCCACCGAGGAGCGGCTCACGGGAGCTGCCACCGCTCCCTCGGGGGAGAAGACAGAAGTGGGGGAGCCTGGAGGTGGCGGTGGGGCCCCGTAGTTATCCGCCACCGCCACGGTAAGGTTGTAGGCCGGGATGCGCTCCCGGTCCAGCGCGGCCGCCACCTTGATGAGGCTGAGGTTGGGTACCTTGCTGCTGTGCACCTCGAAGTGCCGCTGCTCGTTTCCCGCCAGGATGGACACGGAGATGTTCCCGTTGGCCGCCGGAGAGTCGGCGTCGCTCACCGTCAGCAGGGCCACCACCGTGCCAGGGGCCGCATTCTCATCCACGGAGGCGAACCGGGAGGTGGCCGGGAAGTAGCGGAACTTCACCCGGGGCTCGTTGTCGTTGACGTCGAGCAGGCGGATGAGGGCCTCGGCCCGGCCGCTCAGCGCCGGCACTCCGCGGTCCATGGCCTGCACGGTCAGCGAGTACTGCTGCCGCACCTCGTAGTCCAGGCGCTCGCGGATGCGGATCACCCCGCTCTCGGGGTCCACCTCGAAGGGAAGGCTGCCAGCCCCGTCCCCAGCACCGCTGCCATCGCCTCCTTCCAGGCGGTAGCGGATGTCAGCGTTGGTGCCCTCGTCGGCATCGGCCGCGGTCACCTGGAGGACGCTGGCCCCGACGGGCGCGTCCTCAGGCACTCGAGCCTGGTAAAGCGTCTGGCTGAAGATGGGCGGGTTGTCATTGATATCCTGGACGGTGACATTGACCTGAAGGTATCCTCGCCGACGGGGCTCGCCCTTGTCCTCCACCTGCACCAACAGCTGGTACGTGGGGGTGGCCTCCCGGTCCAGCCCTCCGCGGGAAACCAGGTGCAGGAAAGCGCCCTCACCGCTGGGGTTGAGGGTGATGTTCAGGCGGAATCGGCCCTCCTCGTTGCCGGCCACGATCCGATAGGAGCCATGGTCCACGCCATTGGTGCCACTGTCGGCGTCGGTGGCAGTGTCCAGGATGAGCTGGCGCCCGCTGCCCGTGTCCTCCTTGAAAGTCACCACGATGGAGGGGTCGGGGAAGACGGGCGCGTTGTCGTTGAGGTCGAGCACCAGGACGCGCACCTCGCTGGGGTAGGTGGGCTGGCTGGAGAGCACCACCAGGTCCACCACGTCGCTGGCCAGGCTCTCGCGGTCGATGGTGGCGCGGGTGTGCAGGGCGCCCGAGGTGGCGTTGATGGCGAAGAGCTCGTGGTGCTCGCTCAGGCGGTAAGTGAAGCCGGGCCGGGTGGCGATGGTGCCCACCCAAGTGCCGGCCGGCTGCTCCTCCAGCACCCGGAACACCTGGCGCGGCTCCGCGGCGGCGGCGCTCCCCAGCGGCGGCAGCAGCGGCAGCAGCAGCGACAGCAGCAGCGGCGGCGGCGGCCCGCGGGCGGCGGGGGGGCGGCCCATGGCGAGCCGGGGGCGCAGCGCCCCGAGGGGGCGGCCCGGCGCCGCCGCTTGCCCCGCTCCCGCTGCCGCTCTCGGCACCCGCGGACGCTGCGCTCCGGACGCAGACGGCAGCGGAGCGGGCGGCGCGCCGCGCTCACGGGACGCTCCGGCTCCGGCTGTGCCGCCGCTGCTCCCGCCGCCGCTCCGGGGCTGGGGGGCGGCCGGGGGCGCCGCGCCGCATCGCCGCTCAGCAGCCGCAGCCGCTACCGCCGGGGCCCCCGCGGCCCGCCGCTCCCGCGCGGTGCCCGCCGCCCCGCCGGCATGCCCGGGCGCACGGCGGCAGAGCCGGTCCGCGATGCGCGAACGCCCGGACCCAACTTTGCCCGGCGCTCATGGATCCCGGCCCTCTTGACGGCCGGGCAGGCTCCCCCCACGGGCGCCCATTGGCCGCCGCGCCGCGCCGCCCCGCCCCGGCCCGCCCCCCGCACCTGAGGGGCCGCCCCGGCGGGAGCGGGACGGGCGCGGAGCGGGGGCAGCTCCCTGGAGCGGGGCGCGGGTCCCACGGGATGCTCCCGCCCGGAGCGGGCAGCGAGCCGGGAGAGCCGGGCGGAGCGCAGCGGGGCGGGCTGCCCGCGAACCGGGCACGGGGCTCCGCGCACTTCGGAGGCAGCTCTGGAGGGAACTTGCGGGTCCCGTTATCCCGGGAAGATGCGGCGCTGGCAGCGCCTCCCGCGGGCCCGCAGCGCCCTCTGCCGCTCCGCCCGGCAGCATCGCCGGGATGCCGGAGCATCCCACGGTGCGCACCGAAAAGCCCAAATCCTTCCTCCATCCCAAAAAACCTGCAAAAACCCGAGGAAGATCCGAGGAGGCAGCAAAATTTTCTGCGAATTCTTCTTTAAATACAAGCAGCGGTTGTAAACACAAATCTATAGGTGGCAATCAAAGTCCCAAAGGTAAATCTGGCAATTAAAATGACAAGGTAAATCCAGCATAGCCGCATAAGGGATGAGCAAATTACAGAGTTTATTTTTCTCTGTGAGTTAAAGAACCTGGTAGTGTATTTTCCAGCATGGAAAAGTCGGAAAAGTGAGAAAAGAAGTGGAAAAAAAAAGTAGGGGAGTGTAGAAGGACATGATGCCAAAGGCAGTTTGTTCCCCACTAGTACCCTGGATATGATTAAAGAAAGGGAGGTCAAATGACCATTAGCAGCAATCTTGACTGGAAACAGTAAGAAAGAACGGGTGGTTCTTGTTTTCTATTGTCACCTAACACGAAGAGCTACCTCGGACCAGTAATTCCTGCAAATCCCTCCAGGAATGGATGCTCACACCCGCGATCAGCCCCGACCCCATGGGCACAGCACCTCTCCCTGCCTGGCACTGCTGTGCCCTGCCTGTATTTAGTTTTCATTTCTCCGCGTCTGCATCCGACCTGGAGAAGGGCTTTGGTGCCTCGCAGCGCTCTGCCTTTCCTAGCTGCACCAGTCTAGCGGGAGACAAGTCATCTGCTAACTATTCTTGGTGTGAACACCTCCTCCTCTCCTGCGGGGATGAATCCATGGGACAGCCGAGCAGGGCTCATCCGTGCTGCCCCCGCCGGGATCCGCGCTCTGCTCCGGTTCTTTGATATTTAACTCCACCTACAGGCGCGCATCGGCCCTCGCCTGCAGCCTCGAAAGGGGCTTTCTTTAACTTCCATCGCAAAAATGCTCGCGGCTTGTGAGCCATCAAAATCCAACAGCGATTCGCGAAAAAGTAAGATTATATGGGCTGGAGGGGGATGATTACCGACATCGAGAACATAGGATAGCATCTTCACTAGAATAAGTCTTGGAGCATTCATCACGTCCCAGTCACTGGAGTTTTTTCCTCACTGCATGGAATTTATCGCATCTGCCACATAAATTTGACCTCCAAATCCAAAAGACAGCCCGGAGAAACATTCTGCCCCTGAAAGGGGCGTTGGTTCTTTCCCCAGTTCTGATTAGAATTACTAACCACCTATATTTCATGTGGAACAAGCACAACCTTGTCCTGACATTGTTCAAGCTCTTCTGTGCCCATAAGTTTGTGCTTCCCTCTGGGTACTTCTCTCAAATGTCAAAATAAGAAATGCTGCTGCAAAAGTATGGAAATTTAAATATATGAAAGCATAACATCAGTGTTTTAAATACTGTACATCAGAGATAAGCAAAATGGCTAAAATTCTGGGCAAGAAAGAATATCCAGAAAACAGGAGAATATCTAGGCAATAGGTTTTAAAGCACCATGTTTTGCTACTCTAGAGACTCATAAGTAATGTCTGTCAATATTAGATCTCAGAAATATCATCTGTTCCCCTTGCATTATGTTAAAATAAAATTCTACATTGCAAAGTTTTGCAACACATGAGAATGAATCAAACAAAATATAATTGCCCGTTTACAGGCCCTGTAATTTAATATTTGCAATTATATCAATGATCTGTTATGATAGATGTAAATATCTCAGAACCTCTTCAAAACCATAATTTGCTTAAGCCTTTTGTACCTGTAGATGTAAAAATGTTTTTTTTAGATGAGTCATTCACAAAAGAAAAAAGAACACCCTTTAAATTCCATAAGTGTTTCAATATATCAAAATTCTATTCCTTAGGATTCAGAAAGTTACTTTTTAAAATCCAAATGTTTATGAAAAGTTATACAAAATTTTACAGAAAATTTTCAGTCATAAAATAATTTAAAAATTATTTTCTCATTACAACTGTAGTTTAACTGTGAGCTGTCTCAAATGTAGTCAAACTTAGAAGATGCTTTAAAACCAACTGTACTTTTTTAAAGTTATTTTAATGGCTAAGAAAAAGCCCATTAAAATTGAAGCAGCTTTGGGAGATGTTAAGCAGTACCTTTATAATAAAGTCTGTGGATGTCAGTGGAGTTACTCTGGTGGTTCATCAGCATAAGTGTGGCTTGAGTTTTGACCCCTTGTATGTTAACACAAATACATTTCAACAGAGTTAAGTCTGTGCTAAGAAGCACTCCACCACTCTTAACTTGCAGGGATGGAAATAAAGTGAAGAATAGGTCGTTCTTGCACTTTTTGCCTTGCCTCCAGCTCTGTTGATAACACCTCCCAACACTTCATCAGGCTTTCACCTCCAGATATGGGAGAAGCAATCTAATCCCAACACTGTCCAGCTCATGCTCCACTGCAAAGTCTTAATAACGACCTCAGTGTCCATTGTCAACAGATCAACACATCTGGCTGTCACATTTAATGTGCTTCCAGCGCTGTTTTTGCCTCAAGTGGGCCCTGATGCTGCTGAAATGTTGTGCTGGAAGGCACAGACAGCACAGAAGCAGAGGGCTGATGGATGAAGTGAAAAGAAGAAAAAGTTTCTAAGCAATTTATGTTCCTTGGGTGAGTCTAATGAAAATGGAATGCATACCTATTATCTCACACAGCCCTCTGAGGTCTCAGGGTTGCAATTGAATATCACAACAGGGAGAGAATTTTATTCTGCAGCCAGGACAGGAACTGGTCATGAATCCAGCAGATCTGGCAGGTAGGTTTCTGTGTTTTATGTCTGATGAGCTGAAGGTAAGAGCACAAAGGCTCTGTGCTCCTGAGTGATGCAAGGCTGGGCACTGGGCATTCTCATTATTCCTTGGAGGCAGCTGGAATCCTGCCCACACTTGCAGCATTGCAGTTTAGTCAATGATCTTAAAGGTCTTTTCCAACCTAAATGATTCTATGATCATCTACAGACTTCATTGAAGTCTTCATTGATGTGAGACATTTCTTTCTTAAAAGGGTGCAGGGTGTGTTTGATGAATGAGTAAATCTATTTTTCTTCGCTTCTCTTACTGAACTTTTTCTCTGCTGGTTCCTCTTACTAACTGCATTTGAATTTTTCACACCACTTTGTATTTCAGCCAGGGACAGATAGAGTGAAAAACACCTTTGTTCCAGCACTTTCTCCTGTGTTACTCCAGGAGTAAAAATATTACTGTAACATCTTTCTCAGGATGCACTTTAGCAGTCCTTGAGGCAGAATAATGTTGATTTAAATCAATAGGTGTTGAACCTTACCTTTTCATTATTAGATAGATAACACACCATGAGTCCTGCTGTTTTTTTGAGGACTGAACATGGCATATCAGTAAAGTCTCACTTGCTCTGACACTAAACAATTCAGATGTGTCACTGAGCATCACATCCTCCCTGACAGGGACAGCAGCATCTGACTTTTAGAGCCTCATTCAAGTCTCAGTTCCCATCCCAGTCACACTAATGAGAGCTGAATTGGCCTTTTGATATTTATTACTTAATAGACTCGCTCCACTTGGAAAAAGAACATTAAAGTGTTTTTCCAGCCATGTTTTATAGCCTAGAAATGTACTGGTCTGAACTCAGTAGTTTAATTTCTCAACACCTGCTCTGCAACACCATGTTTTCTTTTTCCTTTAACAGCTAGAGCACCCCACAGTGCTTTTAACTGCATATTGTGGCTTTTTTTTGCTTTTTTTTTTTGCTTTTTTTTGCTTTTTTTTTAAATTAAGGTTTGGGGTTTTTTAATAGCTCACGGCCTGGCTGCTGGTGAAACCCTGCTGAACTCAGCAGCTACCACATTTTAAAAGGTTTTGAAAAATATCCTCTACAGTTCAAGTGTAAAATTCAGCATTATTTGACTCAAAGTCAGATTCCCATCAAATGAACAGATGAATCCCATCAGTCCTGAACAGAAAAAGAAAGTAAAAAGTTCCTGTAAAAAAATTCCTACCACATAAAAAGTGGAAATCCTGGTGTTCAAATCCAAAACTGTACTGATCTCTGGCATTTAAGGATAACATAAATGAGCAGGAGAAAGAAGGAGAGTCTCAAAACAAGTGCTTGGTTTTGGTTGATTTTTGTTTTAAGTGCTCTGATTTCCTTGTCACAAGATGCAAAATCCTAAATTGCAACAAAGGGCTTCCTTGTATAATTCTCTTCTCTATTGTCACAGTAAAACTTCCACTGATCAAATCAAGAGTTTGCAAAGTA